CACAGCTCCCCCCCCCCCCCTTCCGATACAAAATTGCCCTACCAGACCTGGCACTAGAAACCAATGGAGGAAGAAGAAGAAGAGGTAGACCAATTGGCAGTTACGGAAGCACGATCGGGAATGAAGCAATCACACAGGACTAGGCTGTGCCAAGCAAACATACATACATACAAACACACATACATACATGCACACAGACGTCACATGCTTACATACATACATACATACATACATAGAAGGCCAAACGTTAAGAAGACACGACATAAACAAATGGAATAAAGCGTGACAAGATTTTAAAAGTACTAAAACAAAGACAGTCTTAAAAGTCGCACAATATCAGAATTTGCCCCGCAGCTCATCGCCGGATCAATACACGGTTGGTGCACAACTTTTGCTGACATCACCGAGGCAGCAGCAACTGCAGAACAAAGCAAACAAGCTCAAAGTGCCGTGTGCGAAAACCCATTACTTATTGACGAGAATGAGAGATCACGTTTTGCTATTGTCTTTTACGGGGCAGCCATCACCCCCACCCCTCCCCTTCCTCCCCTCATCTTCTGATTCCACATTTTCTCTCCCGATTATCTTCCTCTTGAATAGAATCCGTTGTATCTTTGAAGTACTGTTTTGTTTCCTCTTTTCTTCATTTGCTTGTCAACTTCGCTAATGTCACTTGGATCGATTGCCAAGTATCTGAGAATACCGAGACGAGACTGGGAAAAGAGAAGAAGGGCAATTTAAAAGAATAGAGCAAACGAGAAATGAAAGCAGAGAGGAATATAAACGCATAAAGATATGAAGCAGACAAGAGGGAAAATGAAACGGACAGATAGATAGACAGACAGATAGATAGATAGATAGATAGATAGATAGATAGATAGATAGATAGATAGATAGATAGATAGATAGATAGATAGATAGATAGATAGATAGATAGATAGATAGATAGATACAGAGACAGATAGACGAAGAAAGAAATCGAGACTAAGACAAGGGATGGAGTGGATGGGAAGAGGAGGGACGAGAATGGGTCGGGGGGGCGGGGGGGGGGGGGATACAGCAAAGACAGCTAGTGAGGCTTGGGGATAATCTAATGGACAAAATGCCAGCGTACAATGACAGATTGACAAGCGACGCCAAGAGGCAGGACAATGTTAACAGGACACGAGACAACCTCAGGACGTAAGCATATATTATAAACTTGACTGAGGGGTTTTACAGTGAGAGAGCAGTGTTGTATTTGCCTGTAACTGTCTTTGGTTACACTCGCTAATAGCGTGGTTTTTGTTGCTCTTGTCCTTGTTTTCCGTTTTACTAGTTCGATATTATGAATAGTGTCATCGTTGCTGAAAATGGTTGATGCTGATACCTTCTAGCGACATGGGGCATTCTTTGCGCAGTGTCAGTGTTGTCAGTATGTCACTACGGAGTCAGTGTTGCCTCCGTCATTACTATTGTTTCTCGTTGTTGTAGTTGGCAACAATAACCTCTTAAGCAAACATTATGGCCGCTGTTGATCTCTATGCACTTACATCGACTTCATCGTTGCCGTCGACGCCATGTAATGCTTTGCTGACTTTGTTATTAGTTTTAGAAACGTTATAATAACAACGACGACAGAAATATTTCATTCATTTTTCGCACTATGCAGTGACCACAACGTGTCGTCTTGACAGCCATTCTTGCTATCATTTCTGTTTTTTTGTTTTGTTTTGTTTTGTTTTGATTTGTTGTTGTCTTTCTACCAACAGTTGTTGTTTTGTGAACAAACGGTTGATTTAAAGATACTTTAAAGCAGGTCCGCTCGTTCTATTTCTTTTAAATGTAACTTATATTCT